AGGTAAATCATTCTAGTTTATTTGTAATTCCCGAAGGAAAAAAATGTGCATATAAATATTACTGTATATTAGAGTAAAGCCTGATGAGGATCTAATCGAAAACAATATTGTTCGCTTATGTCTATGTTGTTCTATATTTACATTATGGGAATGTTTCAAACATTTTTATATAATGTAGAGCCATGATGAAAAACTACTCGAAAAGAAATTTCTTCGCTCGATTTTTTCCTTCCTTATAAACTAACATAAATCTATAAATCTATATCTATATTATTGATTCAACATAAAATGTAATAAAAAGAAATCAATATTCTATTCACCAATTCGTGCAAATCAATCATTAACATGGTTCACAATCCAGTAAAAAAAATTATTTGTCTGATAAATTTTGTTTATTTTATTTATAAACACTAAATGAATGAATATTTATTTTCATTTTGTTTTAGTTTTGTTGTTGTTGCCGTTTTGCTCGTTCGTTTGTTTGTTTTTGTTTTTGTTGTTTCTGTTGTTGTTGTTGTTGTTGTTTGGCGTCGAAACAAACATCTGTTATAATTGATTTAAATGTATCATTAAAATTAAAAGAAGAAAACTTAAGTCGGCTCATTTTGATTATGTATCTTAATCAGTTATTTATTTTCTCTTTTCTTCTTTTTTTTGTATGTGATTAAACTTGATCATATTTTTTTTATTTTTTATTTTTATTGTAAGAAATCTAGGAGGAAAAAAACGAAGAAAAAAAAGAAGAAGAAGAAAAAGAAAAAAAGAAAGAATTGATCATCTAATTGTACATTTTTCATATTATTGACGAATTATTCTTTGATTTTATTATTTTTTTGTAGATGTGTGTTTGTGTTATAGAAGAAAAATTCATTTATTCACTATTTTACACCTGGTAAAAATTTTCTTGATTAGAAACAAAAAATATTCGTTGGTTTCTGTTTTTCTTTCACACATGAAAATGTGAAATATTTTTTTTGTGCAGAAAAAATTGTATTTGTGTCTTAGTATTTTTAGTAACTTAGTAACAGTAGTAATATTTAATCGCATGGAATTATTGTAGTGTGAAATCAGAAAAAAAAGATTTGTTTTCTCATAACAAATGTTTTATGGTTAGGTGAAACATAACTACATATTTCCATTATGCTAATGAATACAATTTACCTAGTGATATTTATCTATTGTCTTTGTTATTTGAAGGGAGTGTTAATATTTGGGGACAAGAAATATGCATAGATATTACTTACTTACTTACTTACGCTTGTTACTCCAAATGGTACATAGGCCATCGATCAGTATTCTTTAACCCACAGTGTCAGGAACATTCATTTCTAGTTCTATCCAATCGTTGTTGATTTCTCTCATATCTGTCTCAATTTCTCGGCAAAATGTGTTCTTTTATCTTCCCCTCCTCCTACTTTGGCCTTGAGGATTCCATGTGAAAGCATGCCTTGTGACACAGTTGTATGCTTTCCTCAATGTGTGTCCTATCCACTTCCAACACGTCTTCCTGATTTCTTCCTCCACTGAGATCTAGTTTATTCTCTTCCACAGTAGGTTGTTGCTAATAGTGTCTGATCAACAGATCCGAAGTATTTTGCGTAAACAACTGTTAATAAACACTTGTATCTTCTAGATGATGGCTTTCGTAATTCTCCAGGTTTCCGCACCATAATGCATATAATATATACATATATATTTATGACAAAATCGAACATGAAACATTGTTCGTTAAAATCCAAAAAAAAAAGAAATTAAAATATATCAGATACTGCACAGAGAGTCGAAAATCATGATAAAATAAAAACAACTAGATTAAGACATTTTTATTTGTAAAGCGATCAATTTACCATTCACTTAGATGATTAGAGTTCCATTCGAAATTCTTTACAACTAATTGAACACTGTATATTTTAACAACTTTCTGTGTATGTTCGAAAACAATATAACACTCGGATTACTTTAGTAATATTATTCCGATATATAAAAATGTTATCTCAATTGATACAAGCTTGTGAAGCATGAAACAATAATTGAAGTTGTATTTAGTAAAAACATTTTAACTGTAACATATAGTATTCATCATAAGAACTCAAACATTTACGGCTGATTTCTCTATGGTTCTATTGATTAACATTAGGGAATAATTACAAAAATTAAATGAAATCAATAGTCAGGTTCTCTGTGATTTATGGATGTATCACCATTTGATGTTCTAAATCGATTAATATTACATTCAATTGTTTTTAATTCTTTAAATAAAAACCTGTAGTTTGAAACATTCAAGATTTCCATAGTGTAATTAAAAACAAAATATATAACTTAACATAAGTTATTCCAATTACATTTTCATTAGTCTATACTTTCATATTCATTTGTATAGATTAAATGTATTAAACCAACGAATGGAATTTATTTGTCCATGAAAAGAACTATACAGTTTATATAACTAATGGAAATAAGTAAGAAAAAGCAATATAATAATACAATAACAAATATGGTAGTAATTATAAGAACCAGGAATAGCGTGACAATATCGAATCATCATTTCGACAAAAGAAAAATATTAAAAAAACCAAGACAAAGAAATAAGCTCCTTAAAATATTAATCATGAAACAGTTGCGTAACGACAAATATATATATATATGATGAAGAGATACGAAAGAGGCAAACAGAAACAAACAACCGGTACAAAGTATTATAAGATTGGCTAATAAGATTTTTTAAGACCAAGGAAGTGATAAAAGCATTGAAAATATGTTTTAGACCTAAAGACCATGATCGTTGCCTTGACTCTTCTTTTTCTGTATGGAAATATTTTATTTAAGAGGGTGGTTGGAGATAGTTGACAGGAAACCCTGGACCAGGGTTTCGTGCTACTTCGCACTCGTCAACAACGTGTACCTATAATCTTCAGGGAACTAGTGCTCCCTGGCGGATTCGATCTCGTGTCACCCAGTTTCACAGTCAGGAACGTTACCACTGAGCTCTCCGATCCTCGACTGATCAGAAAAAATTATTCAAACCTTTTGAATATATTAGTTCAATAAAAATATACTACAGGATATAGGAATATGATTTTAATGAATAGCTCTCACAATTGATTGATCACTGGATGGCGATCAATGTCATGCGTGTCTAGTCATTATTAGTGCAGATCGAATGCTATCGATCATGTTGCAATGTGGCCACCAGTCTGGGTGACTCGAGACTACGGGCACTATATATTGAGATTAGATGGTAGTTGGAGGTAGTGACCACAGTGTCGAGTCACCCAGACTGGTGACCACATTGCAAGATGGTCGATAGCCTTCGATCTGCACTAATAAGGACTAGACACGCATGACATTGATCGCCACCTAGTGATCAACCATTTGTGAAATATTTTATTTATTACTGTTTATGTTTCATTTAAAAACTCAGTTCTCACTTATTTCGATAGAGTTATTCATGTATTTTCTTTAGTAGTGACTATATTTTCACATATATGTGATTGAACAATTCTCCTATTTACTAGATGTAATACATTTTATTGATTAGTTTTTAGTTATTGTATTTACATCACCTGCTTTACACCAAGGATGTGTAAAAATGGTTCACTAATTATTTATTATCCACTTGTACACTTCGTGTTAGACGTTCCATTGTTATCATTACTTCATTTTAACAAATGCAGTCACAAACAACAACTGTTAACAAGATATGAGTAATAACATATTTTTCTATCATTAGACGAGTTATCACTATATGATAATTCAGCGATTATTTGTTTCATTTCTTGCTAAACGTATCATAAGCATCTTATTATAATATGGCAATAAGAAACAATGTGTAGTTTCTGATTGATTTGGATTTCTTCCAATGAAATATATGTATCCCGTTTATTAACAGGAGATTTGTGTTGACTTAAGAAGAATTGTGCTGATGAATGAAAAGACAATGTATAAACTAAGTCGAGTGTAAAACCAATATGAAGAACAACTATTCTTTTCATAGATAATTTTTGTTTAGAGTATTTTTGGTAAATATATAGATAAATAGAACGAAAACAGTAACAAATCTCAATAAAACTGGTAGCATAGTAGAAGATATTTTTCAGTCAAAATAATGTATTCATAGATTTCTTTACTGTTAAACTAGAAGGAAAAATGCAAGGTTATTCTAAATTGTTATTTTATGTTGAACTTGTTTTGTACATTAGATTCTGAATTATGTTGATGAATGAAAAGAAATAATTTACTTCCAAACTCATACTAAAACGTTTTAAAACCTAATGGCATTTTCTTGTAAACAATGTTCAACAGTGACTAGTAATGGGAAAATTCAAACCATTACGGATTCCCGTTGTACAAGCGGTTGACTGGATAAAGTATAGGGAGTTTGATGCGAAAGGCAGTGGGTTCAAGTATCCTAGTGAACACCAACATTGGTGAGTCTCTCACGAAATTAAAAACTCTATTTTAAATCCCACTAATATACAATCGAAGACCTTATCTAACAATATTTGTGAAGTATCGAGATTATTTTTGACGGAGTTTTGTTCTCTGAGCTAGATGATATGGTCGTGAAGCTTTCAACGCTCTTCGAAACGACATCATCAATATAAACTTCCGGTAGAAGTGAAGCGTTCGAATTTCTTTACATATGGTTTACAGCTTGTCCTGAGAAATTCGATATTGATTGGTTCTTGTTAACTTTAAACTTGTCATTGTTTACTACCATCTCAATATCAAGATCTTCAAATTTTTTTAAAAAATTTTTATTCATTTTTTTGTTTCAGTAACCAATCATCCCTTTTAATTTTCTAATCATAATTCACATTGATTTATTCATCTATTACAATATTTATTAAATTTATTTATTAAAAGATGATTGGTTAATAAATTAACCAATCAGAAGAAAAGAAGAGTAAACTATTGAATGGTTGCACCGATTATTAATTTATTAACTTATTAAGAAATTTATATAATAATAATTATGATTTTATATCTACATTGATTGAATGCACCTTATTTCATTTATTTAAAATGTGAATTGAAATACTTGAAACAAAAATAATAATAAAAGAAAAACAAAAAGAAAAGAAAAAAGAGAAGAAAAGAAAGAAGAAAAAAGAATTATTAATGAATTCAATGAAAACTAGAATCATACTAATGTGAATAAACAATAATTATGAGGAATATATATATATATATGTCTACACATAATCTTGAATCTATTCAACAATTAGTTTCCTATTTTTTTTTCTAGTTTCCTGGCAAAAATTATTATTTATATTCTAATACTCATTGTGAAATTTCTAAAAAAACAACAATTAAAAAACACACAACAAAAACTCATGTTTTATTTATCAACAAATTGGAATATATATAAATAGGTAAGTGTTATGTAATCAATCATAAATGGAAATATTTTTTAATTCAATGAATTTAATTGATGTATTGAAAACAAAAAACATTAATGTAGCTAATTACTAGTTAAGTTGAAGTTAGACATTAACACTGTCGGATGCCGGATCCGTGGTCTAGTGGTTAAGTGCTCGCGCGCGAGACCAATAGGTCCTGGGTTCGAATCTCGCGGAGGGCGGGGTCGTCGATGAGTACTGGTGAGGAGTTCCAAAATAGGACGAAACAACTGTCCAGTGCTTCCAGGTTTTCCATGGTAGTCTAGTTTCAATTGACTCATGATCTCAACTATTGATATGAAACTTTCAAGTTCATGTAAGTAACCACTTAAATTCTCTGAGATATCACAGCATCATAATTACTGTATTCATAATCAATAGTGATGTTTGACACAAATATTTCATGATTAAATGTTAATTAAGAACTAAGCACGACTATCACCATTATAAACTAAGAAGCACTGGACAGATATTTACCATTCATTTGTGAATTCTTATCCGTAATAAAACTTCATCACTTCAAAATGTAAAAACATGGAACTTATTTCTAAGTTTCATAAATAACGGCAACAGTTTAATGTTACTCTAGATTTTTCAGTTAATATTTTAATGAATAAAACTGTACACTAATTATTGCACGCAACAATGCAACCTGGGGCCTTTGGTCTTGCGCGCGACAGCTTTGACTCAAGACCCCTGAGCTGGCGTCCAACGGTGCTAATGTTTACCTTCAACTGATTTGTGGTCTTGCATAAAGCTTGACCTATAAACTGAATTGGATAACTGTCTTACACTCGACACAGATTGTACTCCACTGGTCACGACTGCTCACTAGAACTTAAGGAACTTCATCTTCAAGTTGTTCACTAATGAGTACATTGTTATCAGAATGGGGGATTGGTAGGCAAGCACTGTTAGGGGGTCCCATAACAGAACCAGACAACTGTCGTGTGCTTCCAGATTTTTAATGGTGGTTCAGTTTAAATTGACTCGCGAATTCAACTATTAAAGTAATACAATCTTCACAAATCTCCATACTGATATAAAATAGATCTTTAGTTAATAAATCTATATTTGTTCAATTTATTCCCTAAGCTGAACAATCTCTATTTTTTACAATAATGTTCCATCGTGTCTCTATATAGTATATTGATGTGTATTTGCTCGCTTGTCTGTCTAATTCATTTATTTCTATCGTCATTCATTATGCCATGTATTTAAGAGGTTTCGTGAACACACAATGACTGAGAAAAGGCAACAATAAATTTACAAATTAGTTCACTAATAAAATACTTTTTGAACAAAAGTCACTCCATAAAACAAAGATAATGTGTTATACTCTTCTTTGAATTACTGAAAATGTTGCCAGATTTACTGAGAAGTTCGAATTGTATTTCACCTCTTTCTCTATCATGTTTGTAACTTCAGAATATTCAAAACCATAACTTTCAACCTCTTTCCTTGTTAATTATTCTCTTATAGTGTGCACAACATAATTTTATCACTATCAGAGCATCATTAACATCTCATTTCTAAATTTATCAAGTACTGTTATGTAATCGATTATTACATTGTTATTCTTTTTATAGATTTGATAGTATGCTTTCCAGGTCTAATATCTAACATCTTACCGTCGCTATATAGATGATGCTTTTATGTTATTAGAAAAAAATATGAAAATAATCATTTACTGAATATATTTAATAACATTAATCCAACAGAATAATGGCATATCATTTCTAGATGTGCAACTAACAAAAAGAATAGATGGAACATTAATAAGAGAAATACATAGAAAGTCTGCAGTTGAACAATATTTTCATTTTTATAGTGTTTTACTAATCAGATATAAAAGAAACTTAGTAAAGATCTTAACTCATAGAGCTGAAATGACTTTCTTTGATAACATCAATGTAGATGAATTGATTAGTATTCGTAACCTGCTTAGTAGGAATGGATATCTAATGAAATTTACCAACAAACACATGAATGAAATGAAAAGAAATCCAAATGTGTGTGTGAGTCACCTACACTGGTGGCCACATTGCAACATGATCGATAGCATTCGATCTGCACTAATAAGGACTAGACACGCATGACATTGATCGCCATCCAGTGATCAATCAATTGTGACTACATCTCAGTCCTACAGGAGGTCGGTCGCGGCTCCGATAGCTCAGTGGTAACGTCTCTGACTGTGAAACTGGGTGACACGAGATCGAATCCGCCAGGAACCGCCAGTTTCCTCAAGATTACAGGTACACCTTGCTGACGAGTGCCGAGCAGCACGAAACCCGGGTCCAGGGTTTCTTGTCGACTACCTCCAACCACCATCTGAAGTCCAAATGTACCTACCTTTTCAAATAAAGTACTGTTTTTGAAATTACAATTCTTAGGTGATGCTACGAAAAAAATTCTTAGCTCCAAGGTCAAGAAAGGCGGTGTAAAAAAACATTTATTGCAGCCAGATTGAATGAGGTTTTCTACAACCGCTCAATAATAAAAACCATTAATAAAGACTGATTTTGTTACATGCATATATATTTATCAATTTAACTGTTCCTGTGAAGCCAGTTATATAGGGCGTACATTTCTGCATGTCCGTCATCGCATAGCAGAATACCATCGGTCTTAGTTAAACAAAGGATAGGTAAGAGTTAATAAAAGTTCTATTCTCGCCTACTTTGTGGATATAAGTCATCAAGCTGGCTTGAATAAAGGTTTTAAGTTTATCCACCATATTCCAAAAAATTTACCTCATGGTTTATAAGTTTATCTGTTGCACATTTCGGAATCTAACGGAATTCATGTTTTCTAACCTTACTTTTGCTATCGGTACTGGAGTCGGTTTTTAGCTGAACTTTGATTTAACCCTTTACTACCAAAAAAATGAGCAAACAATTTTATGATTTTATTCACTTTTTTGTTTTTACACATACTCAACATTTGTCTGTTAATTCTTACGTAACTAACATATTATTGACTATTTGCCATATTTGTTCAATCCTTTATGATGGTTGCATTCATTCAGTCATATTGACATTCAGTACGTAGGTTAAACGACTTAACATGACCGTACTCCATTTAGTGTAAGCTATCCCACCTTATTTAACAATAAAGTGTTAATCAGTGTGTTATCTTAACTTCAATACGCTAGTGATTTATTTTTTTTATTGTAGTTTCGTTTTATGGTTGGATGTCGCTTCCATTTGGTGTAAACTCCCAAATATTTTGTTACTTTATGCGACAAGTTTTGTTGATTCTATCGTTATATCACCTTTTTTTATCTAAGTGATTGATTACAGCGATTGTATAACATTATTTATATATTAGTGTAACTATGATGTGTTTGTTTCTTACTTCGAAATTTCACCTCAATTGTTGCAAATAAAAGTTAAGAGGCACATACGCTCTCATTTGTAACAATGCAAAAAAACCATAATATATTTAGAAACTTTTCAATAGTGGGCTAGAGTTTATTTAAAGCTAAAAAATGAAACATGATTTTTTATGCTCAATTCGCAAGGGACTTTCCGTAATGTAAATGACTGACAGCAATCTGTGAATTTGTATACCCTTATATCTATATATACATATGCGGTTTAGGTTACTAGGTCACAAAGTAGAGTTGAAATCATAATTTCCTTTTGAAGAAACCTTAAATTCAGCGAGGTGTTATGTGCGTAAAAAAACACATTGTATAACTAATGATATATATATATATATATATATATATATATATATATATATATATATATATATATTGATATCCATTGAAAAACGATAGAATATTAAGGTGGAATAACACATAAAGTTTTATATCTTCAATATATTGCCCTAAGCAGTAGGATGCATACTTATTGAGTCAAAATCGAGCAATCTTACTTTTTAAACACTAGTTAGTTTTTAGTATAGTACAATATCGCAATCAGTTTAATTTTGAAATTATATTGAACAGAAGACAGTTACATTCATTTGGTGTTGTTTTTCTTGTATCTTCCGATTGCTATTTAGAACTGCAATTGATGTCTCTTATTGGCATATGCGCATCCTGTGCGGACTGCCTCGATATTAGTCCTAATTCACAAGCTTTTTTTAAAGCAAAGATGGATAGTGGCTAACAGTGGTATTCAGAACGCGCGTTTCGTCTTATTTGGAACTCGTCAGCTAGATACACCTGCATCCCACAGTTGATTACTCAGTAGCTAAGTGGACAACGTGGTGGCGTTTGAAGCCAGGTTCGAGTCCTGGAGTGAACATCAACTCTGAGATGCAGGTACAACCAGCCGATCAGTACGAAAGAAGATGAAACGCGCATCCTGGATCCCACTTCTAGCCACTATCCATCTTTGCCTAGAAAAAGAGGACAGTTACCTTATGAAATTTCCGTCAATGTTATGATTATTATTATTTTCTAATTTGGAATAAGAATAACTCATTAGGTAGTTTAAAAATAAGGAAAATTACAATTTCCCTGAATTTCGCATCGTTCTTTTTTTAAAATGATTATTGTACCATTGTCCATCTGCATGGAAATAAAATTCCATTGTAATTTTATAAATCATATATTTTCTTTAAACCGTTTTATTTATTGGGCGTTTCTTCAAACGATATCATTTTACAGCCTACTAGATAAGCTAGAATAAATTTATATAAGGTTCAGTGAATACTTCACAGAATAAACTGTTTCACATTATAAACTTACTTTGATTAATCAACAAATAAAAACCCTTCAGCATCTAGAATCCGTTTCATCCTAATAAACTTCATCACATCAGTAACTGAACCTGAGTTATTCAAGCTTAACATTTTTTAACCTCAATTAATGTATCATGATGTTCGACGATCATCACAGAATATGGTTAAGCTTTCGTGCCGGGAAACCTTAGGTCCCGGATTCCATCCCCCCGGATATAGGGTAATGAATGCACATAACTAAAGAATACTATACTTGGACGGAACGGTTATACAGT